CATGCGAATTCAGGGTGTCCCCGACAAACCACATTAGCTGTGTTTCTGCGCCCAACCCGTACCCCCCCCCCCACCTGCCCTACGTCGAATCCAATTTTCTGGACCAATCGACCTCGAGTTTCCGGGCACCGGGAGAGTTGTTGTTATATTTCGGAGGTTTACGTATACATGCCCGGACTCGGGAAGAACGGCGTAACGGGGTGGTTTAGACTCTTGCTGCTGCTGCTGCGATGGCTTTTAACCTCGTTATCTATAGATGGAATATCGACTACCCAGAGAAACGGTAGATTTTTTTGGCCTTGCTTTCAGTTTTTGTAAGGAATTTGGAGAACCTATCCTATGTTTTATTGTAGATAATACAATTTGTCATTTCAAAGGGTTAAAGTGCATAGTGCGTTTGTTGGCTATTATCAATGCTAATGAACTGCCTTCAAAATATAGTGTAAGGGTGTAAGGGCGGTTAAAAAGCATTTTTACCATATTTATACAATACCTCATTTTTACTACTATTTACGTGACATTTTACCTTTACAATAATCTTATGGTACACTTGTATTGTGTTGTATTGTACTACACTCTTTTGGGTGGATCCCATGTGGTTCCAAATGCAGGATTTTTACGTATGAGGTTCCTACGGTCTGCGAACTCAGCAAAGATGGCGTACTGTAGCTAAGAGAAAAATGGCGTCACTTTGACAAAAATGGACTGTCTGTGATCTCCTGATGTGACACAGATGTTGTCACATAAGTACGTCAACATTACTGCATATTGTCGCCACTTACAGTAAAAACGAGTCAGTGACTCCATTTTTCTGTACTGTATCACTGTATCACTATATCACTGTAAACCGTAGGGACTTCATTCTAAACCCTTACTTTTACTATTTTATCCCTTTCTTTTTCGATTCCCCGACTACCGCGATAAGACCCCTACATGGGTGCTCATCCTATCGACATTACGGCCCGAGAAGAAAACCTTGATATTTATTGTCAGAATTCAAAAACACATGACCCTTGGCACGCTAATCACTAAGCCGAGCACTCATCCATCGAAGTTTGCTTTATTAACTCGTATAAATAAATGAATCGTGGTCACGGTATATAGCTGTTCCTTTAGGTTGGAGTACACCCAAAATTTAACAAATTAGCCAAGACAGGTGAGATTCGGTTTAACAACTGATAAAGATAAAAAGATAACCCAGTGCAAGGCTGTGTGATTATTGAAGAAGCGTTTGACTGGTCCTTTTTCTATCGATTTTTCTATTATAATAACGTAAATTAAAAATGGAAGGAGTATGAAAACAAAGATAGCACTGCTCTGACAAAGAACATTGAACCCGAGGTTAATTCCCCTCGTCAAAGGGTCGGGAAATAATGAAAAAGAAGGCGTGTCCGAGATCACAACTATTCGCAAAGTAGGTCGAAGTTCGATCTCGCTCTCTCCCCCCGATGCTTTTGACCCCGGAAAACTAAGACAATTATGATTAATCAAACAAAAACAAAAGGGCCTGGCAGCTAGTGTAGGTTTGCACGTATAGTTATGACGACAGCGGGTGACTCGCAGTAATTTCATTCCAAGAAAGGCGCCGTACACGGAAATTCCTACCCTCTCTCGGCGGGCGTCGTCCTCGCCGGGTGGAGCGGGAACTATTCCGGTAACTTGAATGAACTCCAATCTGTCGCCTGCCTACATGTATATGCATAAACTAACTTTCCCGCGCGTTTGCCGAGATAACAGTCTCTTTTTTCCGTTCCCAGGCGCGAGCAAATATCAGTGTTCAACGACTGTCGCTTTAACGAATAAACCTGTTCGGGTAAATATTACCGATTCTGGGAAAAAAAGGAACGTTACGGTACGCTGGAACAAAGCTTCTTCCTCATATTTTCGGGAGGTGCCAGTCGAGTCGGATTTTTACGTCTTGGCTTATTCTTGGCTTTCCTGAGTTTTTTCCTGTAAAATGCTTTTAGACGTTTGCTAGAATATTTCCATGCATGACGCACGCTGTACCGAGTTGCTTCTGAAACTTTGATGGCCCGTTCGTTGAGAATTTGGGTTATTCTTACAGTCACAGTTATTTTGTTCTTACAATTAATACTTTCGTTTGAGAAACTGAGAAAATATTTTAGACCGCATAATCGTTAGTGAGATCTTGTGAATGCATATTTTATGGAAATGTTTAGGGTAAAAATTTCGGTAATTTTACAATTTTCAATCGTTTTTACCGTATAGTATACAGGAGTGGTTTTTTTAATTAATCTTAACATCATTACTTTTCCGTCATTTTTACCGTAGAGTCATGGTAATAATATACGTTCTCAAGTAAATATTTTTTACAATCATGAAACAACTTGAAGACGACAAAGAAATTTACTCTTAATAATTTTTGTTCTGGATTGTTCATTGAAATGTTATTAGTATTTTATTTACCCACTCCAATCATCTAAGATTGGTGATACATTTATGTTGATTTGTTTTAAATCAGATGGTAATTTATATTATACAGCAGTGATTTTTTATTTCCTGAAAAGGAAAAAACGAGATTGATATTAATTTGCAACCCTTACTTTGAATAATTTATTAGTAAAAAAAAAAAAAAAAAAAAAAAAAAAAAAAAAACAACAACACATTTAGAATACTCTTAAATTTAATTTTTAGCATGAATGATTGTTATAAAAAAATTTTGAAAGAACGAGTTTATAGCTGTTTAACGGATTTTTGAAACATAAGTTTTTTATTAGGAAAAAGTTGCAACTATTTGATAAAATAACAAAAACTCGTTTTATGGTAATTTACGTAATAAACGTTACAACTTACTCTGCATTACAACTTTATCGGTAGTTTTTAAGGCGAAAATTTTTGAAACTCTTTTTGCGTGTTTTACTGATCCCCATCTTGTACAGCTCGTAACTATTTGCGAAAGGATAATCTTTCTTTTTCAACAAAAGAGGTAGAACGCAATTTTTTCTTCCAAATACACTGAAATGTATCTTGTGCGAATCGTACGAGATAAGAGTGATAAGTGGGAATGAAAGAACCACGAAAGCGTAACAGTAAGAGATGCAAGCTATTTTACGTAGGACAATTACTTATTGTCGTCGACACACGAAGTACAGAAGGTGCTGCCAAATACGAGGCCAAATAGCTACGGGATAAAAAGCAATTTTAGACTCGGCAATTACTAATTTCCGAGATAATATATACTTTTTTATGGTACGATTTACTGTCTAATTAATCGATAATCCTCGGACTTTAAAAGGGTCATAATTTTTTGTGAAATAAATATATTATATATATTAAAAGTGATGAAAATTTTTTAGTTTAAGTAACAAAGTCTAGTCTTTAAAGTGGCTGTATAAGTTTTGAAATTATAACTTTAAGCAGTGCATTATTTGCAAAAATAAAAAATTTAATGTTCACTAATTGCATAAATTACCAAGATCAATTACTTGAAACATTTGTACCTCAATGTCGTAATAAATAACACGACTTTACCTCCTAGAATGAATTTAGTAATTTTCTTCTACAATCAGATCAACCATGTAGTTACGAATATTTTATTTTAAAGTCATCATTATTGAATACCATTTACAAAAAATTGCAAACTCTTTCATAAATTAAAAAAAATACTCTCATTTCATTCAAGTGAACGACAAACTTCAATTGACTGCTTATTCATCTCGTAAATCCCAAATGAAGTTGACTAGAGGCACACTATTCCACCAGCTATCTTGAGCTCTTCTCAACCCTCTAAAGAGCGATTCGTTTCTAAAAACTAAACATATCAGGTGGAGGATTGAAAAAGGGTCGAAATTAATGTTTATTCGCGCGATCGTATCTCGAGTCGTTACGAATCCAATCTTGAGCTTCTGCTGTGTTTTAGTGATGTTATTGATTAAGCGCAAGAAATTTCCTTTGGAACATAACCTGGATATAATATTTTAAAGTCATTTTATATTAGTCATAGTTTAGTATGATTTTTTTTTTAAGGTATTCAAAATTTTTCTTAACTTTTTTATTGCACCTATAAACAAAAATTAATGTTTTAACTTTGGGCTCTCATATACACACATATATATGTATACGGACCGCAGAAAAAGATAGGTTATGTTTAATCTAACCTCACTATACAAGCGTTCCAAATAGAAATTTATTCTTAAACCGATTAAAATAAGTTTTTATATTTATTAGTTGAAAAAAATTTTATTGAGTAACTTGATTGTATCACGAACTCATTTTTTTTGTGTTCTGCAAATAGAAATATATTCCCATAAGTACATGTACTTTACCAGCTTCTGAAGAAAGAAACGTAGTAAAAGGAAACATTCAGCTTCATCGGCTACTTAAAAGTACATAAAACTATGTCGTAGCTGTATAAATCTCTTGGAAATACTTATTGTCTACTGGCAGTATACGGAGACTTGCTAAAATGTCCGTATAAAGTTCAAGGGACTCCGGAATATCTGTTAGCGCGACAATTTACTGCGATTGGAAGTGCGAAGATAAAAGCTCTTGGGTCGCACTTTATTAATAATGACCGGTGCAGGCGTTGAGACGGCATTTGTTAGACGTACATATTTCAATTGCGATAATTTGCGAGTGCCGATGGGACGTGTATTTAATAGCTCGTATTGCGACTAAATACACTGTACTGTTGGAAGTTTGGTGCTGCTCGTTAAAGAGGATTGTAATAGTTTGTAGTAGTTACCAAATGCTGATATCATTTTTTTTTTTTTTTTTTTGCACGAAACTATACGACTCGCAATATATACCTGAAAGTGCGACGTTGAAATAACTCTGTACCATGAAAAATAAAGAAGAAAAATATAGCTTTCCTTTACATCGTCGTTCACTAAAAAAGAAAATTTCTCTGAAATCCAGTCACGTATGATTCCAACTTTTCAAATGGACACTCAAGTCTGTGCCCAATAATTTTTTTTTTTTTTTTTTTCACTTGCCCGATAAATTCTCTCAAAATGTTATTTTTGTTTCGTTTCTTGCAGAAGGCGACGCTGGTGGCTGGGGACCCTGGAGCCAATGGACGCCTTGCAGCAGCTCCTGCGTCGGTGGCACTCGCACTCGGCATCGTTTCTGCGACACCCCACCACCCCGTTATGGGGCCAAGTTCTGCCAGGTGGGTCAACTCCATCCATATTTTCGACCCCTTGAATGCCAAACACTTAATCAAGAAATTTTCAAAACCAATATGCACACCATGACAAATTAATTTCAAATACAAATCAATAAATATACATTTTGCAAGAGCAAACCACCCATTGGTAATTCATTAGGAATTTCATAAGCAGAATGTTCTAAACTATTACCGTTGATTAAGTGTAAATTTTCGCTACTGTCGAGTAAAATTTCTTTCACGGTAAAAATTTCAGAAACGCGTTACACCTCGAATATTTTCTTGGATATTTTTCCCTAGTTAATTACCATTGTTACCTCGATACCATATAATTCAGTTCATAAAAATAAGGGTCCATTTTACCGTGAAATATTGTTGGCAGACACTTTTGCTATTGATTTAATTGTAACTTTTATCTGGTGCCAAGTAAGTTTTTCTGCTAACTGAACTAGAACGTAACAATTTTAAGGTAAAATTTTACAAAAAACACTTTCTCACACTTAAATGAATTTCACACACTGTACTTTATTTTCTTCATTTTCAAAGAAAAAATTAAATTCCGTAGTACAAACAAACATAACAAATCTCTGATTACCAGGGCAAAACGGTAGAATCCGAGGCCTGCGGGGGTTCAAAGTCATTGGATTTGCGAGGCTCCTGGAGCCCCGGCGACTGGGAGTGCCGGCACGGCGAGGGCCTAGCTGCCGACAGACCGGAGGTGACTGCCGTAGTCGGGAGCAGGTGCCGCTGTGGCTGCTCGCTCGTTCTCGAGGACGAGGAGCAGCGAAGGATACTCGCTGCCAGCAGTCGGCAGTGTCCGGGTCACTCGTTCTGGCTCGTACAGGTGAAAGGCTTTGGAAATCGTAAAACGCGAGACTGAAATATATAGCTAAGCCTGAAATTTATTTCGCGAAGAAGCAGCACTCGAGTTAATTGGCCACGGGTTTTCTGAAATTAATGACACATGTGGGCAACATTTTCGGTCACTAGCTTCGAATCCTGCTTTCATTTTTTTCAAAAAAACGAGCACGAGTTCAAGCCCCCGTGAATTTGTCTAATCTAATGGATTTTTAATGGGTCTGCATGACGCCTTTTTTCAATTGGAACATTCCTCTTTCGATCTCGTTTTTTCCTAAAATTAACGAGATCACGGGTACTTTGACACACTTTTGAAATTTATCACAGCCATAAATAGTATGTTTTAACTAAAGGGGGAAAAATGATTTCAACGAGTTAATGAACGAGACACTAACTTATTAGCGTTGAAATACTTTTGTCATGAAAGCAGCAAAAAAAAAATAAATAAAAAATAAAGAATTAAATAACGAGATAAAAAATCGGTTTTCGAAACGAGACGGCACAATTCACCAATATTCATCCAAGCCCAACACAATAAATCCCCAGACAAAGCCGAGCCACGTGGTGGAGTTGTACTTCGATCAAGCACGTTTGCCCTGCCAGAATCAGTACGTGCGAGTGAAGGACGGTGACTCGTTGATCGATGCCCTGTTGGCCGATGTGACGCCCGAGCGCAAGGAGCCAGCGTCCGGACGGGTAGTCAGTACCGGACCGAGGTTGCTGTTGGAATTTTATAATGAGCCCACCTCGGCTGTCTCGCCTCTGGAAATCGATGCGATTTCAATCACGACCGCCGAGGCATCGTCGTGCGCCTCTGGATTTTTGGCTCACGTTGCCATGGCTCGTAAGTTGATTTTTTTTTTTTTTTTTGTGCGTCATAGGTACATGTAGTTTCTTTAGCGATGAGGAGAATAGTCATAAATTCAACGAAGGGACTATGAAAATTAATTCAGCTAAGCTATGATGCTTTAATTTTATCCATGGGTTCATTATGATACATTTTAGCTATAAAATAACACAGCGTATGAAGTTGGTGCAGTATATAGCTTCTAAATTTTTAATAGTAATGGGTGTACAAAATATTATAATATTACATATTTTAGTAGTGTCGTGGTTATTTTCCCTATTTCCTAGTTGTATATGTACAACTAAATTGTCAGAATTTCCCAAACAATCGTCAATTTTCGCTATTTCTACTAAAGTTTCTTTAATTTAATTGTTGGTGCTACCCGAAATGATATTGACATGCTACACAACTCTGAGGTGTAGGTTCACTGAGAGACCTAATTATTTATAATCAACGTGGTCGCGGTGGCGCAACGGTAGAGTTGCAGTTCCGTCGATCTCCGAGGTTAAGCAGCATTTGGCGCGGTTAGTACTTGGATGGGTGATCGTCTGGTCACCATTCAGGTCTCGCCCTTTCGCCTGTGCTCTTGATTCTCAAAGGTCGATTTACTGTTTCTCTGACGCTTCGTCTACGTGATCATAGGTGGTGTGACTGAGTTGGTCCAGATGTTTATGTACGTATATAAACATCTGGTCATCACTCAGGTGCACCGATGGCTAATTAACACAAGCATATATGCTTGTGTAAGAGAATGCCATGTCTGAGTCTACGGGCGATGATGAATAAAAAAAAAAAAAAAAATTAATATATACATACAAATTAATATATATACGACATATTAATAAATACGTTAGCTGCATAGATAACCTGTATGTTTTCAGATAACTGATGCATTGTATTACTGAACTTGATATATTAACTATTAACATATCAAACTTCCAGATCAATATAGAAAGAGTTGATCAAAACTAAATATGCTGGCTTCAAAGATATGTATAGTTGCTTAAAATTAAACATGTCTATGTTAACAGTTAACATGTATGTTAACAATAAACAACTGGGTCTCTCAGTGTTCGTGCCTCTTCTCATTATTTTACGTTAAAGTAGCTGTAAGATCATTAATTAATGAAAGTGTATTAAAGTAAGATATGGATACATGGTCCAATTACCATTGAAAACAGTATGTTCTACAAAAAGTCAGAAGCAATAAAAAAAAACACTAAAATTTTTACGATGCAGCGAAACCAAAGGAAGAGAACATAACAACGGCTGTGCCTGCACTGTTTCTAAACGCAAAAGTCATGGCGGCAACCGGTCGCTGGGCACTATGGTTGACTCCAGCTCACCTGGTCGCTACCTCACTTCTCGTTCTCATGTTCCTCGCCACAGTCGTTTTGGCCTTGCAGTATGCCTTCAAATATCGCAAATACCACGTCGCTGAGGACCTGGACAGCCTCACTGACAATTCCGGTAATCATTGACTTTTTATGAGAAAAATATGATTTTTCCTTCATAAGGGTTACGATATTCCGAACGTACCTCCGCAATCTACTTTATCGATAAAAGCATCAAATTCAGCTTTGCTGTAACACTATCAACAACGGTATTAGAAATGCTTATAGCATTCTAAATACCAATAATAACCTAAAAGACCATCTGTTGGTAAAATAGACCTCAATTTAAAGATTAGTAGCATGTATCCTCTCTAAAGCCTTATGATCACCATCTAATTTGGAATGTGTAGCGTGTAGTGGCTCAATGCAAGGTATCGCCAGGCGTACACGTGCAATGTCGTCGACGACCCTGATATCGGAGGTAGTGTCACTGGTGAGATTACAGAGGAAAGGATCACCGAGACACGCGAGACTGAACGAAGCCGGTGCCGATGTCGAGGAGGGCTACGAGAGCACAGAGACCCAAGCCGAGTAAGTAAAACAACACCTGTGTCGTATTTTTTATAGTCTTGTAGACTTGAATTCTCAAAAATTCTAATATCTTCAAGGACATTCAGTGTATACCAGACAATTCCTGCCTTACCGACTACTTCATTGGGATAAGTTATTATCAATTCATTATTTTATAGCTATTTTTACGTTAAATAACGAGAAGACCTGCCAAGCTTGTACTTTTAAGAATAAATCAGCCCAAATTTATTGTAATCGATTGCAAATTGAAAGAGAAAAGTTACATTTCGCAATTCGCAGTCGCAAATGAGTACCAAGATGCCCAATATATACAATGTAACTTTTATAAAAAAGTGATGCATTGAATGACCTGGAATTTGAACAAGACTTTTAAAATTTCAAAACGAATGTGGGTCTATTCATGCTTTTTGTAAGCAATCAATTCACAAAATGAACTGACTGGACATGTACGAATTTGCAGGTTATGTATTACTAGTGAACGTAAGACCTTAGTTTTCAAACTAAATGTTCGCAAAAAACACGAGAAGACCCGCGTTTATTTTATTATTCAAGAAGTCCTGTTTAAATTGTAGATCATTCAATACATTACTTTTTGAGAAAAGTTACATTTACGATATGATATGTACATACATCAATACTCTTCGAGGTACTGTTTCATGATTCATGATTTCGAGATGTAATTTTTCTCTTTCAATCCTCCGTGGAATGCAATAAATGTTGGCTTGAGAGATTCCTAAAAGTACCAGCTTGGCGGGTGTTCTCGTTGTTTCACGTGAAACCAGCTGTTTGATTAATTAATTATAGAAATTTACCAAAGTGAGATAGTCGGTAAGGTAGACACCCCGGCCGTTGTACTGAATTCCTTTTAAAACATTCAAACAGTCATCCCTTACGTTCTTCATTCCTTTTAAAGTGGAGACGACGAGGATGGTAGTTTGGGCAGCCTCAGGCGATCAGCGATAGCAGAGGAGGGTGAGCGGAACACGGGCTCTCAGCGCACGATAGTGGCGAGCAACAACAGTGTGCGCAGCACTCCAACGAAACGATCGTCCAATTGCTCGTCCACTGCTACTTTGACAACTGCAGGAACGAGCGGAGGAGTCACTTCGACAACGTCAACTGTGACGACACAAGCCGGCCAACTACATGCCGAGGTCAAGTACGCCCGTCCGGTTAAGTAAGTTCGGCTAAGGCATGTTGCCTGTTGTTTCTTGGATAACACAATTTTATTCAGTACCTACACACATCTACGGACACTCATCGGAGATTCGGTACACCGATGTGCTTTTACGCGGCCATGTACACTTTGTCACCTGGAAATCGCTTTTTTATTTTTTTTATCTTCCGACTTTATTATTAATGACGTAAGAACACATTCAACCTTTTTTTTATCTTTTATAAACTGATTTTCACGACCAAAAGACATTTTTGAAAAGTCGAAACACTTGGTGAAACATGATAAAATTTTGGATCTAAAAGAAAACATATCTACAAATATATACGATGTTCGTAATTTTACAGGCGTTCAATCTTATAGCTTGGCTGGCTCGTCGACATTTGCTATAAAGCTTAAAGCAAAGAATATACATGTTTGTCAGTCCATGGATTATTACATGAATTATTTAAACTGCTCATGCCATGTTTTCATCTTATATAGCTTCATGTTGGGCATATTTGTTATCTTACTACTTATAGAATTCATATATACAATATTGTTAACATAATCCAATATTTTTCGTTTGAGGAATGTGCATGTTTCTGTTGGACATACACAATATAACAAACGAATTCTGAATGTTAATAGAGACTTGTCTTATATAGCATAGATATCGAAACATTTTACATCGACATGAATATACCCATTTTTATTGTCAGCATGATGAAAAATTTTTACATTCTTACATCATAACATTTAACAATTTAACTATATGTTAACATAATGATACATTGTATTTTTTCTTTACATTAAAACATTAGATCTACCATAGTCGTTTAGTAAAGACAGTACGGAAGTTTTCGTTTTTCACGTGTAAGTTGAATTCGTCTTTTCTAAACGATCAGAAAAGTACATGAATCATGATGATTTTTTGTAATTTTGACTCACCTAATGCATTAACATACAATGAATGTTATAACCATACTAAACATACCTCATAACGTTATTAATACACATGACTGTGTAGGAAGCATTTTTGACTGTGTCTAATAAACATCAATTCATTAAGGATAGGTCGAAACAGAGGGCATCAGGTTTTTGAAAAAAAAAAAGTAAAAATTTATTGTCCCTACTACCTGAAGCCAGTAACTTTGAAGAAAAATGTGATTTTCATCAAAGAATGAAACCGAAAGAGATTCAACGAAACTTCCATCGAAACAGTATCAAATGCTTGATTAAGCTGTTTCGACCGAGCCGTTAGAATGTTTCGACCTCTCCCTAATCGAACTAGCTAGAGCTACGCTAGGGGAAAAAAGAGTTTGATAATATTTTAATCACTAATATGGAAGAACAACAAAAAAAAGGGTAAAAAATAACGTTTCAACCTTACTTTTTGTAGACTGCGCACATTCGGCCCGGTAAGCCCCGTGTCAGAAGAGGCGGCTTCGACGTCCGAAGATGGCAGGCGCTTCAGCGCTACGAGTGCTTCGACCAGTCTGAATAACGTAAGGGTAGCTCTCTCTCCTCATCCCAAACGAACTAGTAACCTTCTTCGGATCAAGGTATAGGTATAGGTACTTTGCTGACCACACAGATCAGTGCTCGTGTCTTTCTCCCTGTACTTTATCTTTCGAGCAAGGGCCAAGGGCCTATACAATATTTTTTCACACTGCTTCGAAGCAAGAGTATGTAACATGTATTATACACTAATATCAGCACAGATTGGCTTTTTTTTTCTTTTTTTCGTTTAGTAAGGGATTTAAAAAGTTTGTAGAGATATTGGGGTCATCGATTAGTGGGGACTGTACGATAGCAAGGGGGGGGGGGGAACAGGAATCGTGCATACATGTATATTAGCGAAAAACTTAAATTAGAGAAGTTTGTGTTCTACAAATTCTGCACCGATTGTTCGGGAGACAGAACTGTAATGAAAGTGCAAGACTCCAAGGGAGGATTAAATTTTAATTACGATTGTATGCAGAAGAGCATCAAGATTTCATAAGACAAATTTTTTCATTTTTTCCGTTCCTTTCAAGTTTATATTGCATTAGGCATCATTTAAAAAATCGATGTAATATAGAGATTTTTTATGGAAGGTTGGGGTTTTAGCAATTCTTTTAATAGGTAGCTAAGTATTTTATTAATATGTTAATAAAGTTTACCAATAACGTACATTGTTCCAACTACGACGGACTTTATTAATTTTACATTTGGTTAAAACGCATGGCTTCATATTTAGACGTTATGCTTCTTGTGTTTGAGTATAAAAAATTAAAGTTTTTCATGAATTTATGAAACAATTATTTAAATGATTTCAACCATTGGAACCTTAATGGATTTCATATAAAATACGAGTTTGATATTTAAATTTATACACTTGTCAGGGTCAGGGTTCTTTTACAGCTACTGCTGGAGTCATAGTATTCTAGTTTTTTATGCTTATTTTGTCATCTCTTTCTCCAACTCTTTCTATAATCTATAGGAATCTTCGAGTAGCGTATGTATATGTATGTATACATAACCTCTAAATGTTTGGCTTTGCTTTTAGGTTATTTTTTTTATTTCACTCAGAGGTCTAGTTTTTTTTTTATAAAGTAGCAAGCAACTTTTTGATTTTCCATCACTTTAAAAAAAATATAAGTTAATAAAAACATGATCTCCCATAAAGTTATATGTTACGTTCGCAGAATCTTGATAAAATATAAATGTTAATTTTTCGTTTTTAAAGCGCAGTGTCATCAAAATTCAATTTGATTTAACTGTAACGTCATCAAGCTTTTATTCAAATGCTCTTAAGTTTTTTATCGAATTCCTCGTATTCAATATTTTACCGGTAGAACGTCTTTAATAAACATTTGCCAAACAACATAATTGAATACGTGTTGTAAGAAGTAAGTATACAACTATCGGATCAATTTAACTTAGTAGAAATAAATTTTTTAACAGAAAAAAATTGTAAAAAAATATTCGATTTGGCGTAGCTGCTTAAATTTTTAACGAAACGCTAATTGCATTGTATAGCTAGGTATGATTAAAATGTTAAAAAGATTAAATTTCAACATGTTCAGATTTCATAGTGTAGCTTTTGTATATGACATTTTGTTTAACTAGAGAACTACTATAATGCAACCAAAAAAACCAACCTGCGGTAGTTTTTACCTGTAATTTTTTAATGACTGAAAAGAGTTATTGACTCGCTTTACTGAATGTCTTCTATCTATAATCATTATTGTGTTAATATCGTAAAAAAATCTACATTCAAAAATAAAGAGTCAGTAACCATATTGAAAGTTACCACACACTTGGACGAAAGTCCAAAGAACTCAATGTTAATAAAAGCCTTTAACAATCAATCCTAAACTCTAATCAAAAATTCACGAAAACTAAGCACCAAATATTCCCCCACGATTTCCAGGGTTTCTCACCAGCGAGCAGTTCGTCTAACTCGACACTGCGTCGCTGCAGCGGCAAGGAATCAAAGGAGCGCCGCAACCGTGAACGTCTGCTACGTGGACCAGGTTCGGAATTCAGCTTGGCGAATCCTGATTTGGACCTCGAGCTCGACTACTACGACTACAACGTGATGAACGCTGGTGCGGCTCCTGGTTCTTATCTCGGCATGGATCCAGCCTTCCTCGTCTGGATACCGCCCCTTGACGAGGATGGCCGACCGAGGAGCGATGAAGAGGAACACCACTACGAAGAGATTGTTGAACGACCGCTGGACACCGAAGGAGCCGCGCTAACTCCACAGGAGTACATGAAAAGGGTAAGGACGAAACACGAGGACTACTTGAGCGAGGGCGAATCCGATGATGTCATTAAGCCTAGAAAGTTGGACCCAGGCGAGTGCCGACTGCATGACGAAATTATCATGGAGTACAAGGCGCGGCTGGTTGAGGGCATGCTGCCAATTCACAGGCTTCTTGAGGAGTCCAGGGTTAGGGTCAGCGAGGAATCCCTGTCCAGTAATAATGCTGACGTAATACCCAACAGGCTAGAGACGAGATCCCCTAAAACTCCGAAATTACCTAGACGAAGCAAAAAATCCTTTAGTCAGAGCCAAAAGGTTCAAGATCCACATAGTAGTGACACGAGCACACAGTCCCTCGAGGAGTCAGAGCCAATGACATTTACCAGATCGAGAATGAAGGTCAACGATTTGGATACTCCGAGAACTAGGCGGAGATTGGGAAAGGTTGAACAGGACAAGGATGCGGAATACTGCGAGGTGATAGTGCCCCGGTCACCAGCACGACGCGGAGGTGATTTGAATGCCAGTGGTCGGGACGAGGTGGTTGGGGTTAAAGGTGATGAGATTAACATACCAATGGCTGAGTTCTCGAGGAATTGGCGGGATTCACCGGTAAAAGTTCACTCGAGACTCAAGTCCAACCGTATACAGAGTCCGGACCAGGGTGTTGACGTCCGGGTGGAGACCAAGCGATCGTTTTACGAGCTGATTGGCGAGGGCGAGGACGGTATTAAGTTTGCCGATGACGACGATGAGGACTACGATATCGAAAGTAATGTCGTGACGTGAAAATTGCTTTTCTTTGATGCGTTTACGAAGGTACCAAATAATCTTCAATGCCATGGTGTACCACGTTTTCAGATAGGTGTGTAGATATCTATCTACAAAAGTTTACCTTCAACCCTTTGCCTATGTATTAGAAAATCATGGAACATGGGTCAAATTGTTACTTAACAGGTATCGGATGATCCTCACGGCATTCGATGTTCTTACTGTGAAAATCCCTAAATTATCATATGACTGATATTTTGTTTGTATGGGTGAAATTAACTCTCCTTACAATAACCAATCGAACTGGCTTAATGTAAACAAAGAGTATGAAAAGTACGACAGAGAACAAGATGAGAATTTTAATTATTTGTTTAAGTAGTGATTAACATTTTCAGACTGTTAAGGATCAGAGTATTAAGTAACTGGAACTTTTCTTTATCTATTCTATGTCTGCTATGCTTTTTTGCCAACGCTAAGCCGATTCTATTATTAATTTAATTGGCAAATACTTATTATTTGTGCCCGTCCCAATAATGCAAAAAATACGTAATGTCCTTTTGTACATGTCCTTACCAAAGCGAAGATTGTACATATTAATCTACAAGAATGTAATTGGATAAGATATTAAAGAAACTCTTACAGACCCTAACAATAACATGCTTTAAACATCTTTCATATATCTTTGATAGAGCTCAGTTTTTTATGTTAAGTATTATTTTCGTATTTCAATAAAGTTAATTGGAAAGTCGATCAAGCATTCTATTTTTAATCCGAAAAATGTATGAATCATTATCTCATACACTACGATAAAAAAACTCTGAAACTCAGTCATTTTCTAAAGGTTTCATTCTTAAAGTATTTCTGCTTCGTAGCACGGCTTGAAACTATATAAATACACAGGTGTTGAAAAAACAAACTATCTTTTTTCAAAATTAGGGGTAAACGCACCATCTACCGTACACCCGTAAATTCACTTTATTTTGTTACCATGATTGTAAGACAGTTTGATACTAAATATTGACTCAGTAAATTTTAAATTATTATTTAGGATCTCAAGAGAGCACCAACATTTTTTTGTGATGTTAGAGCTTGTTAAAATGATTTTATAATAAAAATATGAAATAGAAGTCATATTCCTATTTCCGTACCGCCGTTCTCGTTACCGGACCCCATCTACCGTACGCGTTCCTATTACCGGACCCCATTCACCGTTTGACGACAGATTTGACTATAACCTCACATTTTTGTTTACAACTGCATATCGATCTCAGTACCTGCTACATAAATCACGATGAAAATGTCAAAAGCAGAGAAAGATGGAAAATCGAAAATTAAGGAAAAACCGCCAAGTCAATTATGCAATTCAAAAAGATAGCAGACAGAAAAATCAAAAAAGAAAAACAATTACAGAGAGAGAAACAAAGATTAGAAAAAGAAAATGAAAAATTACGAAAGCAAGAAGAGAAGTTAAAAGCCATTGTAAACAGAAAAAAGTCTGTTGAGGAAGATTTAATGGACGAGACAGAAGCTATTGATTTACAAAAGCAGATTGGAGAACTTCAAGAGAAACAATTAAAACTAAACCAAAAAAGAAACAAAGATCCATCATGAGTAATTTTTGTAATGCAAGTTATTCTTGAATATTCATAACATCGTAAGTTGATTACTATTATAGTCTCAAGCTTTTTTACTGATTTTTGTCAGTCTAATTAAAATATTAAAAAGCAATAATATCTCATGATATGAAACAGAAATCTTTTTAATGAATAAATTTTTTTTTAATAAATGCAAATAAGTTATTTCATACAAACAAGCAGTAATTAAACTTAGATTAGTTTCAGCTTAACGACAATTAAATCTATTAATACTAAATAAAACTTCACTTGGCAAAAATTATTCAAGAATAACTTGCATTACAAAAATTACTCATGATGGATCTTTGTTTCTTTTTTGGTTTAGTTTTAATTGTTTCTCTTGAAGTTCTCCAATCTGCTTTTGTAAATCAATAGCTTCGGTCTCGTCCATTAAATCTTCCTCAACAGACTTTTTTCTGTTTACAATGGCTTTTAACTTCTCTTCTTGCTTTCGTAATTTTTTATTTTCTTTTTCTAATCTTTGTTTCTCACTCTGTAATTGTTTTTCTTTTTTGATTCTTCTGTCTGCTATCTTTTTGAATTATATAATTGACTTGGCGTTTTTTTCTTAATTTTCGATTTTCCATCTTTCTCTGCTTTTGACATTTTCATCGTGATTTATGTAGCAGGTACTGAGATCGATATGCAGTTGTAAACAAAAATGTGAGGTTATAGTCAAATCTGTCGTCAAACGGTGAATGGGGTCCGGTAATAGGAACGCGTACGGTAGATGGGGTCCGGTAACGAGAACGGCGGTACGGAAATAGGAACATGACTTCTATTTCATATTTTTATTATAAAATCATTTTAACAAGCTCTAACATCTCAAAAAAATGATGGTGCTCTCTTGAGATCCTAAATAACAATTTAAAATTTACTGAGTCAATATTTAGTATCAAACTGTCTCACAATCATGGTAAAAAAATAAAGTGAATTTACGGGTGTACGGTAGATGTTGCGTTTACCCCTATCATCGCAAAAAAAAACAAATTTATTAAGCGTACATTGCCCCATTTCTGAGGTCCAAGTGGAATGGTCCAAAGGAGTCCACGTTGTCATGTCTACGTAGAATTAGCTGTAATCGTCTTTCAAATTCATAGAAATTCGATAGTCCATGTGGAATGGAGAAAATTCATTCCAAGTGTTCGTGCCCACGTGGAATTAGTTGTGTGTGATTCCACGTGAATTTCATGTCAACGTGACCACGTGGAATTAATTAACGCTCTTTTCCAAAGTAGACGTGGACTATCTTACATGAACTTTGAGGGTGGGGATAGACACTTTGTTAAGGACATGTGTATTACGTAGATTCTACGTGGACCTTGGCAATGGGGTTATATTTCCAACAGTTTTCCCGCCTCAATTTATACCTCTGTATGAGAGCCCTACAATCCGACAGATAGCGTACTGTAGCTAAGAGGAAATCTCCAAAAAGTCTATCGATAAATATTAGTCGTATACATATATACTTGTAGGAGTTGTAGGTGATTTTCTCTTAGCTACAGTATGCCATCTGTCGGATTGTAGGGCCCTCATACTGTTTTAAGCAATACAAAAAGCAGGAATATTTTGAGTAGCAGACCCCTGAAGGAACTACTATACTTCTAATTCTTTTTCATTAATATTCTATCGTTGGGTGCATAAGGTTAAAGAAATTAAAAGGCTATTGTATAAGTTAAAGAGCAGCGAATGTTAACACACAATTAAAGATGGCCACTTTTCAGAGCTATCTAAGGCAATTGAAATACTATATTTTATTTGTTAAATACTTAAATCTTCAAGGTTTATTATATTAAAACTTATTAGTTCACGAAAACATTTTAAAAATGGTATTTAAAATAATTTTTACTTATAACTATTGAAAAATCAAAAAATATATCTATTGTACCATGAGCTTTCTAATTTTCTTTAAATATGTACATACATCAGTTTGGAGTAGGAAACTAAAACTTAACCTAAAAGTGCAAAATTATTTGTGAAGATTTTTAACTGAGTCGCAGACCCAAGATGCGCGTATTCGATGACTCAATGTTATGCGCCGAGTGAATAATAATTAAGGCTGGAAAATTGTCTTTGCATCTAACAATAACTTGTCATTCTTATAAAATCACGTGGCATCTAAAAATATTATGCAGTCCTCAACGCCAGCGCGTTTTGCAAGTCTTTTAACCAGGGTAGTGTACAGGACGTCCAAAATATATCAGGAAGTCTGAGTTTCCAGCATAACATCATGAATCTTAAAATAACCCTCACAATAGTTGGGTTTGAAAAAAGAAGCCTTATGACTTCTTTAATTTTAAAGGTTATGTAAGGACATTTCAAATATCTTTTAAATTTTTTTTTTAATTCAAAGAAAGATATCTGACTTTTTCTCTAAAAAAATTGACTATCACAGTAATTTTTAGACATCCTGTACATCTATAACAATAATAAAAATATAGATATGTTTAAGTTTTTTATCGAATTCCTCGTATTCAATATTTTACCGGTAGAACGTCTTTAATAAACATTTGCCAAACAACATAATTGAATACGTGTTGTAAGAAGTAAGTATACAACTATCGGATCAATTTAACTTAGTAGAAATAAATTTTTTAACAGAAAAAAATTGTAAAAAAATATTCGATTTGGCGTAGCTGCTTAAATTTTTAACGAAACGCTAATTGCATTGTATAGCTAGGTATGATTAAAATGTTAAAAAGATTAAATTTCAACATGTTCAGATTTCATAGTGTAGCTTTTGTATATGACATTTTGTTTAACTAGAGAACTACTATAATGCAACCAAAAAAACCAACCTGCGGTAGTTTTTACCTGTAATTTTTTAATGACTGAAAAGAGTTATTGACTCGCTTTACTGAATGTCTTCTATCTATAATCATTATTGTGTTAATATCGTAAAAAAATCTACATTCAAAAATAAAGAGTCAGTAACCATATTGAAAGTTACCACACACTTGGACGAAAGTCCAAAGAACTCAATGTTAATAAAAGCCTTTAACAATCAATCCTAAACTCTAATCAAAAATTCACGAAAACTAAGCACCAAATATTCCCCCACGATTTCCAGGGTTTCTCACCAGCGAGCAGTTCGTCTAACTCGACACTGCGTCGCTGCAGCGGCAAGGAATCAAAGGAGCGCCGCAACCGTGAACGTCTGCTACGTGGACCAGGTTCGGAATTCAGCTTGGCGAATCCTGATTTGGACCTCGAGCTCGACTACTACGACTACAACGTGATGAACGCTGGTGCGGCTCCTGGTTCTTATCTCGGCATGGATCCAGCCTTCCTCGTCTGGATACCGCCCCTTGACGAGGATGGCCGACCGAGGAGCGATGAAGAGGAACACCACTACGAAGAGATTGTTGAACGACCGCTGGACACCGAAGGAGCCGCGCTAACTCCACAGGAGTACATGAAAAGGGTAAGGACGAAACACGAGGACTACTTGAGCGAGGGCGAATCCGAT